GTGGGCGGGCCGAGGACTCCTAAGGGAGCCGCCCCTGCCTGGCCCCGCCCCGCGTCCTGCGGGCCTGCGCTGCCAGAGCCGAGCGGGTGCAGAGTCCGGGTGCGGAGTCCGGGTGCGGAGTCTCCAGCGCCCGCCCGTACCGCCTGGCTTCCCTCCCTCCTGGTCTGCGGGGCGCCCGCCCGAGGTGCCTTAGGCGCAGGAACGCGGATGTGAGGCAAGCGCGGGGCGTCCGGGCAGTTTCTCCGGTGGAGACATCAGCGACAACGTCCGTGCTTCCCCTTAGCGTCCCACGTGAACCTAGTGGTCCTGCGGAGACCTGCGCTTTTCGAAGAAAGTGGTTACAATGAAGTAGGGAGTCCTTTGGAGGCATCTTCACAGCTTGGGTCGGGCGAGGTTCCCGCTCTCTGGGCGAGAAGTTTATCTTGTATCCGTGTGACAGGCAGGGTACAAGAAAAACGCCACCCGGAGCACAGGACCAGGACCGGAGTCTGCAGTGGGACCACTGGATCGCTGTTTTCCTCTTCGGATTTGTCCCGTTACCAGGGCAACTCCTGCTGCGACAGTGGCCCACTTTATGCTTTGAATACAACACTCGCTGCTCTGCCACTGCGACTTATTTTTGAAAAGGCCACGTTTCTGTCCCTCCTCTCCCCTTCCCCCTACCTAATCTCAGGGGAAACCGGATGGCCTTTCTTCCCCATCCCAGGCGGAGTTGTCTGCCCTGAGTACACACCCGCCATAGGAACAAGGTAATCCAGACTTTGGAGGTGATACCAGAAGACCTCAGAAAAGGCTATCTTCCAAATTAACAAGTGGATTACAACTCCAGACAGAGAACACATGGACTGTAGCCTTTGAGTCACCTGTTCCTGCAGAGGGGCAGAATCTTAACCTCTGGGACAGAAGTCCTTGTGTTCCTTCTTTGCTAGCAAAGCAATAAACCTTCTTTTTTCTTTTTCTCAAAACTGTGTCCTTGTTATTGGATTGGCATCAGGGACAAGGACCAAGCTTTCAGCAACACTGCCACTAGTTATATATTCTAATTAGATGAAAATAAAGTCACCAAAAGGTACAAACAAACTAGAGTCTCAGGCCTGCAGGGAGGCAGCAGACACTAGGGCTTGCTTGAGCCATGCTGTCCCTGAAGCCCACTCTGCTTTAGAGAGTGAACTTTTGCTTTTAATAAACCTCCTCTGGCTGCTTCTCCCCTGCCTCTTGCCCAATTCTATGTTCAACATGTGTGAGAAACAACCTTGCCTATCCATGCCCAAAGACTGGACAAAGAGGCACAAGCAATGCAAAAAGCAAGGCTCTGCTTTACTGAAGGTCTTGCAAGATCAGGTGTCAGATAGCCTTGTGTCAGACAGCCCCAGAGTGGGTACAACTAGTGTTTTAAACCCTAGAGTGCATAGTCCCTCCCCCAGGTCTTCCTTGGTTGAGTACTATAGTGTACACAATCTTTCCAGTTGTCACCTAGGTTTTACTGTCTCCTTCTGGGTTATTTAAAGAAATATATTTTGAGTTGTCCCCACCTCCCTTCATTCTCAATACATTCTCATTCGGCACATACATACTTTATCTCTGTTGGTCAGGTAGGCCCCTTCCTTCTCACCTACTCTTTGTCAAGGGGTTGTGAATTTTCACACTCCAGCTTTAACTTTTCATTCTACATTCTCCTCCAGCTGTCTTTTTTTTTTGGGGGGGGGAGCACACCAGGGATTGAACTCAGAGGCACTAGACCACTGAGCCACATCCCCAGCCCTATTTTGTATTTTATTTAGAGACAGGCTTTGCCAGCCATCTTTCTTATGTTGCTGAAAGCTTGGTCCTTGTACCTGATGCCAAACCAATAACAAGGACACAGTTTTGAGAAAAAAGGAAAAGAAGGTTTATTGCTTTGCTAGCAAAGGAGAAACACAGGGACTCCTGTCCCAAAGACTATGATTCTGCCCATTCACAGGGGGCTTTTATAGAGGTGATTCAGAGAAAATGAAATTAGGGAGAAGTTCAGGGAAAAGAAGATTGGGAAAAAGAAAAAAAAATAAGTTTCAAAGCCACAAAGAATACAGTCAAAGCATCAAGTGAATCCCTGTTACACTGTCATCCTAAGTCATTTTACATGTAAAATATATTGTATTCTGAAAAATGGACCACTGGACTTTTTATTTCTCAGATCCTCTATTTCTCTTTTTATATCCTTTGGTCTCATTTTCATTTTGCTCTTGTGCCCTTTGGTACTGTCACCAGTCCTACCCATATTCACTGTTTGAGGTGGAAACCACCCATGGTAATGAGTGGACTTTTTAGCAGTTCAGACAGCCATCCCAGGCAGGAGCACTTGGTCAGTTCCCTTCCAGCTTGGCAGAAGCATGTCTTCTCGCTAAGTCTTGATTAAAACCAAGTCACTAGACTATACATGAGGAACCGTGAACTTCAGAAGAGGAGTCTGAGCAGAGTCTCTTTAACCTGAGGGATGATAAAGTGGAGAATATGGCCAGGATATATGTTCTTAGAAACTGACCTTTAGTTTCCATGGTAGGGGAATCTGTACTTTTTCCCAAATAAGGGAGCCATAAACCAGCTCATGATAAATAGCAGGGCTAGATAATCATACCAGAAGAGGGGGGAAATAAAAGAAGTCCACTTATGTAAGGATGTTAGGAAGACTTATAGGTCTTAAATAGACTCAGAACAAACTTGTGACTCTGACAGAGCTTCTTGTGAGATTTATCAGGCACTCCTGTATAAAAACCCTTTCTTTATAATCTCCCAGTTTACTTCCTTTTGGGAGAACTGACACAAACATACATCTCTATTTTCATTTTTTAAAAAAATTGTCTTTTCTCTTAAACTCCCATGTATGACTGGGCATGGTGGTGCATGCCTGTAATCCCAGCCACTTGGGAAGCTGAGGCAGGAGGATCATGAGTTCAAAGCCAGCCTCAACAAATTAGTGAGGCCTTAAGCAACTTAGTGAAATCTTGTCTCTAAATAAAATATAAAAAAGGGCTGAGAATGTGGTTCAGTGGTTAATCACCTCTGGTTTAATCCCTGGTACCAAAAAAAAACAAGTTGGTCAAAATTGATCCTATTCTTATCTACTCTTGGGAATGTGTGAGAAGCCTCTTGGCTCCTTTAGCTTTCCTCTACCAGTTGTGCCATCCACCAGGAGTGGTCAGGGTCTTGCGACCCACATATGGCTTCCCTTGGAAGCACATGGGACATTTCCTTGTCCAATGAACCCCCTCTTTGCAGATGTGCACTGATTGGCTTCCTCTTCTCTAGGGTCCTGTTGATCCCCCTGATCAGGAGGTTCAGTTGACTCATCAGAGATGGCTCCTTAGAGGGGTCAAGCTGACCCCTTGGGTCCTGGCTGACCTTAGAGGGCAAGGGCCAAAATATTGACTGGTTTTTCCTTCACCCTTTTACTTCCTTGACTCTGCTTTCCCAAGTTTCCGTTTTAAATATCCAGCAGGCCAGTTTCACCAGTAACTAATATCTATAATTTTATAGTTAACACTTCCATTTAACTGGGGTTTGCATTATAGAAGTCTGCCTTATATCCAATTCTGTCCTGTAGGTGATAGCTTATTATCTCAAATTAAGTCAGGTTGTTTTGTTAGAAAGAGTACTTCTTTAAAACACTAATGGGGAAAAGATATAAAGTTATATAAGGAAAATAAAAAATAATAACAAGATCAAAAACATATTCAGTTTGTATAATAGCTTTGAAGCAAGAAATATAACTTCTATAATAACACTTTGGTATCTATTTTACCTCCACAAAGACACATACATTTATCAACTCAATTACGTATAAAACCCTTTACAAATTTTACATTTAAAAAAACTGTCTTACAAACTTACATATGTTTTATAATTTGCTCAAACTGTTACTTAGTTTTGTAGTATATTCCTTGTTTATTTTGGAGATTGCAGTAATCTTTGCAATAAAAATCATCTTTTGAACATAACTTAAAATGAGCTTAAGTCTACCCTTCTTTGGAGCCATTTAACATGAAGTAGGGTGAGAGGCAGAGCTTTATCTCAGGTGAGGTGGGATTCTTAACAAATCTTAGGTAAAGTGATTTATTTCTGAAGTTGGTCTTTGCCTCTTTCTTAAATATCATTTTATAAAGTACTTGTATACTTTACTGAGTCCATATGAATATCATTAACACTTATAACATTATATCTGAAATGTGAATCAAAATAGAAGTTAAGAGAACTCCTTTCTTTTTATGGAAAAAAAGTGGCAGAATGCTTCCATGTTTCATATTGTCAACCTTTAAACAAATTAGGCTCTCCTTATTGTCTTCCAAAAATACATTTAAATTTCTATCCCAGAGTAAAAAGTAATCCAAAATTCTGTATATAACTTATTGATAACAGGTTACCTTTATCTAGTTACAAAACATTAAATGACAGAAATAAATCTCCAATTAAATTTTCTATTTTTTTATAAGTCTAAAAAAGACTACCACTACTGACAACTTTGGTTTGGAGAACACCAGTTTGGAAAAGTGTTCCCCTAAGCTCTCAGCTGTACCTCTAGTCACATATATTTAGGGTGTAAAATAGACTATAATAACCTAAAATAGCAGTTGTTTACGCAGTTATAAAGCAATCATTTAAAAGAATTTTTAAATGGTACAAATCCTAATTCCTTTATAATTTAGTTTCCCTAAGTAATAAAACCTAACAGATACAAGAAATTATCTTAATAGAAAATGTCAGTGTTTTAGACTTTGTTTCATAACCTTAGGGGTCTGGGGTGGTGGCTCAGTGGCAGAGCACTTGCCCAGCATAAGTGAGGCACCGGGTTCATATCAATAAATAAAATAAAGGTCCATTGGCAACTAAAAAAATTTTTTTAAATATATGACCTTAGAAAACCATTTAAATATTTTTTACTGACTGACGTAATAATAGCCAATTCAATCACATACACAAAATTTTTGAGATTTACCCCCACAAACCCTTTGAAATTGACTTAGTCTACAACTTGTTTACATTCTTAGATTTGTCCTCTTTCATCTTGGACTTCAGCACAAAAATATTCCATTTTCATACAAAATACTTTCTCATCTAGAACATACATTACCCTACCTACGACTTTTTATATCTCACTTCTTCCGGTTGTTGACTCTTTCTTAAATTTACATTCTGAAAGTAGTCAAAACTAGGAAATTTCTGAATTTAGATAAACTACTCCTTTTTAATAAGATGAAATGCTTTACTCTTTTTACAGTACTTTAATCAAAAGACAGCTGAAACTTTTTATTCTCTGCATATAGAATGACACCTATTAGAATTTTAACTTCTAGTAATCTTGCTTTTAGTTTAGGCCCAGAAGCACCCTTTAAACTGTTTTCCATTTACCAACTTATAAAAACATATTTAATATGCCCAATTATGTTACCTTATGGAATTTAAGAAGCTAAGAGAACTTAAACTTAGTAGTTGTTTTAGCATTTTAACTTTGCAAATTATCAGATTTCTCCCCTAACAAACACATTCATAAATGTTTATCCCATTTATGTTAAATTTAATTTGCCCATTTTTAACTTCTGCTACCCATAAAAACCAAGGTATCAGACAAACCTAGTTAACACTTTAAATTCGTTATTCCTGCCAAAGAAAAATCCGTGAGCATTGATTGCTCTATAAACATTTTATAGAAACTATTTTTTTTTATTAGCTGGCCAACTAGAAAAACATGTAGTTTAGCAATTTCAATGATATCTTCACTCTGACCAAAGTAAATTGACCCTTTAGAAATTAAAATGGAGACTGTCACAGACTTTTACAATATGACCCAGACATGAAGAGGGTCTGTGCAGTTGGGAACATTGGGAGTAAAGTCTGTCGGCCATGGGGGATGTTGCACTCAAAGATTTAGGTGCCACTTGCCCTCCAGGGGGGCAGATTCACTCCCACCATCATCATCGTTTATTTTCCCTGC